GATGGTGTCGTCGGTGAGGCGCACGAGGGCCGACAGGCGGAAGAATTCGAGCTGGGGCGGCGACGACACCGCAGAAGGAGAGGAAGAGGAGGAAGAAGGGGGCAGCGGCGGGCAGAGGTTATCGTAGCAGAGGGCCTTGAGGCCGCCCACGGTGAGGGGCGGCTCCCCGGGAGCCGAGTGTGTAGGGAAGGCGAGGCCGGGTACGAGCAGGTAGACGGCGTGCTGGCCCTCCTGCGCCCCCTTCCCCTGCGGCTGGTGCTGGTCGGGGGGCGGCTGCTCTGGTGGTGGGGCGGCGGCGGAGGCTCCATTGGCCAATTGTTGGCGGGCGGGGAGATTGAGCTTGGGCATCGCGATGGCGGCCATGGGGGCCGACAGTGATCCATTGGCAGGACCCAGGGCTGCGATTTTGAGAGGACCCTTCTCGGGGGGCTGGGCGGAGAGCGGGGCGGTGTCGGCCGTCGCGGTCTTTTTGAAGGCCAGCGAGAGCTTGGGTATGGAGGGACGCGACATGCTCTATCGACAACGTCGTGTATTTTGTTCTCTTTCTTCCTTTCTTCTTCTTCTTCTTCCACAACACGATTATATCTCTCGAGAACGGTAGCCGATGAGCTTGTGTGTTTAAGAAATGAGAGTATAAAGAAAAAGAAGGAGAAGGAGAAGGCGAAAGAGGGTGGCGTCAGTCAGAACGGCAAGCCCTATTGAGAGCTGCTTCTGAACTGAGGGGCGGTGACAAGGACGAGCTCCCAGCGGTGTCGGTGCGGGTAACCGTTGGTGAATGCTGCTCCTGCCAACCACTTCCTCGGTGGGCTAAGAGGGCTGCTGACGTCACGGCGGCGGTGCGAGATTCGAAAAATAATCACGGACCAGCGCAACTCAACGAATTGAACGATACTTCGCTGTGTGAGATAGAGGATATAGAGGATGTCGGAGAACTGGGCTGGCTGCGCTATCAAGAAGAGCCTCGAGGAGAAGGCCCACCCCAAGTGCCTCAAGAAATGGGCCGAGTACGATGCCTGCGGCCAGCGCATCAAGGGCGACACCACCGGTGAGGCGCAGTGCAGCGGTCAGTACTTCGAGTACTGGCATTGCGTTGACGCTCTCGTACGGCCGTCCTCATCATCCTTCCGTCTTGATTTTGCCCCCCCCCACGCTGAAGCGAATTAATTTTGCAAATTAATCCCGACCATTTCTGCTTGCCTCACCATTCACCATCAATATCCTCAGGTGGCCAACGACCTCTTCAAGCGGCTCAAGTAGACGACAAGAGCGCCGGGACCGGAAGGAACGAAGTTTCGGAACTTATACAAAATAATAATCCTCTCTTTCTCATCACCATCTTCCCGCCTATCCAGCGAGCAACGAGATCGCCACAAAAGACACCACCACACAAAAGACACACACCAGCATCAACCTTGCACGTTGGAGGTGCTTGGGGGTGGTGGGTTTTATCCCGGCGCCAGACAAAGGAAAAGGAAAAAAGAAAAAGGGGCGCCTGTTGGTGGCGGAGGCCATATGTGCGTTGTTGTTGTTTTTGTGCTTCTTGACCCGCACAGACGCAGTCATGAGCGCCTCGTCGTCGCTGGCGCAGAGGAAAGCCAAGGCGGCCCTCCTCTCCTCGTCCGAGCCCCACGGCGACTACTCCACCCGCCGGCACGCCTCCGCTGGCAGCCTAGGGGGCAGCGGCAACAGCTGGGCACGGGGGCGGGTGAGCGGCGGCGCAGGGCCACGTGGCCGGGCCGGCCAGGGTGCCCTGCGTGCCCTGTTCTGGGCCATGGCCGCCGGCCTCTTCTGCCTCTGCGCGTGCCTCGCCCTTCTGGTCACCCTCCGCTTTGCAGCAGCTCAGCCGCCGTCAGACTCGAACCCGACAGCGTCGTCGTCGGCCCACCTCATCCGCCGCGACGACGACGACGACGCGTCGGCCCTGTCCGTCGTTTCGCTGCTCGGGTGGGCCGGCCGCCGGCTGGTGCACCTCCTGCCCACGCCGCCAGCCGAGCCCCGCTTGCCCAGGGCCGGTTCAGCAGTCGCGGAGACCAGCGCCGTCGCGGAGCCCTCGCGGGGCAGCCAGCGAGCGGCGGCGCAGAGCGAGCCTGCCACTGCAGATGACCCCGATACCGCCACCACCGGCGACGATGGCGAGGAGGAGAGCAAAGACGACGAAAACATCGCCGCGTCGGTGTGGCAGGCCACGCTGCGTCGTGATCGGGCGGCCAACGACGAAGAACCGGCCATGGAAGAGGAGCAGCCGGAGGAGAAGGATGAAGAAGAGGAGCAGCAGCAGCAAGAGGAGGAGGAAGGCGATGAAGCGGAGGTCGACAACGAAGTCGAAGAGGAGGAGGAGGAGGATGAAGTGGAGGAAGAAGAGGACGGGGGGGGCGGCGTGGTAGAGGAGGACGATGGTGCGGAGGGCGCCACCAACGAGCAGCAGCAGCAGCAGCAGGAGGGGGAGGACATTACAGAGGCGGAAGAAGGAGAGGGAGTCGAGGAGCAGGACGGCGAGGGTGAGGAAGTGAGCGACGATACAGAAGCCGACGAGGCTCAGGCGGAAGAGGAGCAGACAGAAGAAGAAGAGGAAGAAGGCAAACAATCACAGGAAGAAGAGGAAGAAGAGGAACAGCATCAGCAACAACAACAACAACAACAAGAGGAGGAGGAGCACACAAGAGCGGGAGGAGAGGAGGAGGGAGCCGAGATGCCTCCGCCTCCGCCGCCGGTGGCCCATCCGCCGCCTCACGTGCTCGAGGGCAGCGACGAGCAGGTGGCCAAGCCCGAGGAGGTGCGCCGCTCGGTGCCGGTGCCGCCGGCCGACGAGCGTCCGCCCTCGCCACGCCCTCCCCGGGCCAAGACGCCCCTCGCCCGCGCCGGTGGCAGCGCGCACGGTCATCAGAAGGGCTCCGTCGTGTCGAGCCGGCTAGGCCTCGGCCCTAGGCCCACAACTGGGCCTGCCGGCGGCGGCGGGGCCAAGAGCAAGTCCTTCAGCAAGCCGGGGGTGCTGGGCAAGGCCAAGACCACGCCCGGCGCGGTGGCGGCTCTCGCGGCGTCGGCCGTGGCCAAGACCAAGGCCAAGTCTGGCGGCAAAGCCATGGCGGCCGCGCCGGCTGCCGGTGCGGTCAAGGCTGGCGGCGGGTCGAAGATCAAGGCCGGCATGCTGGCGAAGCGTGCGGGGTCGGGCAAGGGAGCGGCGGCGGCGGATCGTCGGCTGGCGGGCAGGACGGGCGACGGCACGGCGAGGCCGAGCTGCAGCGGAAGAAGGCGCGCTCCCTCAAGTCGACCGGCCGCAGCGAACTATGACCGGGCCTGCGTGGCATGTCAATGTCACCGTAATGTCTGTTCCATTGCCTTGATAAGCGCACACATATGCGGACATTCACTCTTTCACACCACCACACACTACTACAGTTACGCGGTTTAGAGCTGCGGCACATTTGCTGATGCTGCTGCTGCTGGTGGTGGCGGTTGAAGAAAGGTGCGGGGGTTTGTGTCACCGCGGAGGGCACACAGGAGGAGCGGAGGGTCGCGGGCGATGCGGGTACTCGTGACGAGCAGCCAGGCGAGGCCGTTGACCACCTTGCTCTGCCGGTCGGCCTCGGCCTCCCAGTCGACGGCGTCCTCCTCGTCGTCGTCGCTGCCAAAAAGCGCCGCCTGGGTCGGCCGGTCGACGTGCTTGTCCGGCAGGGCGAATGAGACCACCCGACAAAGACGGCTCC